GACTCTAAGTCTCCCATATTAGATTTAAAATGGGACTTTAGACACCATCTCTTTATTGGGATGGGCTCTGACACAGCCTTTAGACCTAGGCTTTTCTTTTGCAGCACAAGTGCATGAATGAAGCCCGGCTTGAGGTCATTGTCCTTGGGCCATGCATGCTTCTGTGTCTCTGTTATAGTATCTGCCAAACATTGTCATCTACCCTGAATTCTTCATCTTTATGTGCTTTGACCTTCAAGTCCTGTGGATCCACACCTGGCCCTCTGGGAATCTGTGGTCAGGCCTATGGCAACTGCTCATGAAAGTAGTTCATTCATTTGGAACCAATTTCATGAGAGCCAAGAGCATGTCTGATCTATTAGCGTAAGCTGAGCATAGTGCCAGGCACATAGTTTACGGAGCCAATGAATACATCCATTTTTATCAGGCACATCTGCTTCTGCTGGGCATGTCTGTCTGTTTTGGCCTTCTTACTCTCCTGGTAGCAAGACTGTTGGTATAATCCTGATGTCCAAGCCCTGGGATGGAATGAAACTCCAGACACTGACCTGGAGCCTTCATTAATGTGACAGGCTGTCATCAATACGTGTGATGCGACATTTACATTTTTATAGGACCACTTCTAAGCACTTTTCTTGTGGTTTGCTGACAAAATTCACAATCCTATTTTGGAGATCGGATAGTTAAACCTAGGTTTGAGGAAATTTCTCAGCAGTGGATGGAATTATGAACTCTCAAATCTAAAAGAGCATCAAGGATAGTTTATCCTGGAAAAAAGTCAGTGTTCTTCCTTATTCCTCGGTGTTGGTGTTTCTAGTCAAATCAATGAATTATTTTGATTGTTTTCTTTGGGCTGAGACTTGTTTTTTTGGACAGAGACTTAGGGGTGTGCACTGCTGTCTAGATAACATTCTCATAAGTAAATAGCCTTGGTGTGTCTGGCATCGTGAGCAGTGAGTGGGGACTTTCCATCTGAAAACAGAAAATAAGAAAGCAGAGTAAGGGAGGTGAACAGGGCTCTGGATCTTCCATGGAGACCCCGGCATCTAGGAAACTTTATTTCCAAGGCTACCCAACCCAAATCGGCTGCCACGCTGGCTCCCACTGGTTAATCTGAATCACCCCTAGCTTAGAGAAACTATTCTTTAAATTTAACCCTTATTTATCTTGTTGAATGCTTAAGGAACTGAACTTTCCTTGTAATAATTCATGAAACCAACATTTTCTATTGCTAAGCAAATTGCTTTAATAATTCTTATCTTTTTGGATCTGTTTGGGAGAGGACGAGAAAGGAGACAGAAAGGTACCATTATTTCTGCCACTCATATCCTGTGAAGGAATAAGCGTTAAAGCTACTGCATTAGTAGTTTAACTGAGGAGAGGATGCAAGCCAGATGTAACATAGTTGGACTGCAGGTGAAAAGTAGAAATCTCTCTGTCCTACAGTTTACTGTTGGCTCAGGAGCAAGCTGGAGTCTCCTCCCCAGCTGTTCCTCTCTTCATTCCATGCATAACCTAAGCCATGATCTTTTTCCTCACCTATAACTTCAGTCAGAAGCCTTTTGATTTTCTCTGTCATTCCTATCTAGAACCTCTTTCCTACTCCATTTGCTTCAGATTGCCCAGTTCGACTCCTGAAACACAATTCTCTTCCATCCCCCATGTTCTCATCTTACCCTAAGCAAAGGGAATGGGGAACTACTAGGGTACTTTTTAATACCAGAGAATATGAAATCCCTGGGGCCCAAGAAATTTTGACCTAAATATGAAGCAGGAAAAGAAATGGAACCATTAAGATGAAATTCATCTCTAAAGCTTCTTACCTTTTTTGGTATTTCCACTGTGGAATAAACCGTATTTGCTGGATCTTCCATTGGGATCGTTCTCTATTAAAAAAACAAACAACAAACAAAAGAAATCATCACCCTCCTCCTGAGTCACATAGGCAAGGCCAGAGAGACATTCAGAATCCAGGGAGGGGAAAGCTGGGATGCGGAGGAGATGGGGAAAGGGAAAGGAGGGTTCTGGAACAGGGAGGGGTAGTAGGAAGTTCTCTTAGTGGTGACTGCTATTATAATAATTTTCGGTAACTTTTTTCAGGAGGCCATTGCATTATTTTTAAACTGTATTGTGTTTAAATGAATCTCAAAAATATGTAAGATACATATACAAGTCTCATTAGCTATGAGTCTCCTAAAAGGATTAAAGGATAATTTGAAGTAATATTGCTAATGCTGCAAATAAACTTTCCCAACCGTCAAAGGGCCCTTGGAGAAAACCAGTAAAGATGACTAATGGAACAAAATAAAACAAAACAAGAACAACAATAACGAAAACTCCTTCCCAACCACAGGTAAATATCCTGGGTTGGCTAAGTCTATTCCTGAACATTCAGGGCAGTCCTGCAGTCCTCTGGGGATGTATCTTAAGCAGGGGAGGAAAGAACATGGCAATAAAGAGATAAATTTTGATTTAAACCAGTTAAATGGAGCACAAAGCAGCCTCCCTTGTGAGAAAGGAAAGAGCGCTCAGAATACTAATGACTTTGGTAACATTTCCTCTTTGTAGGGTGTAAATGTAGGTAAATGTTGTAGGCAAATGTAGGAAGATGAAACCTGATTGAGAGGAACCAAAGGTTTGAGTAAAACTGGGGTTTTGAGATCCAAAGTATTTTTATTTATTCACTATATAGGCCGTTGTGATAAAGGGCTCTATGACCTCTAAAGAGCTGGCCCAGCCTGGGCTGCAGTGATTGGATTGGCCCTGGGGAGCCTTTTTAAGTTGTCTACTTATTTCATTCTCCAAATAGTCTTTTGTTGTTTGAGTTTCTTAAAACTTTATTCTTAAGATTTTCTTTTTGGAGACTGCTTTGAACGAACTGTGTTCATTCACTTCACTCAGTGACCTACACTTGCAATGCCTTGAGTGGGGACCCAGAGTCACCCAAGTGCCCTGATCCTTCTCATGATGGCTCCTTGAGTCACTTCAGAGGAAGAGGCATCTCTAGAGAAGTCTTCTGACACCATGATTCAAACATCCTGTCAAAGTCACACTCTTCTACCCACTGCCTTATGCAAAAGGAATCTGGCCTTTTGAGTGGCCGCTATGAACTGTGGAGGGGGAGCAGGTGACTTCATAGATCACAGCATGAGCATTATGAGTCAGAACCAGGTGCTCCAGAGACCACCAGGTTCTTCTGCACAGAAGAGAATCCATGAAGACTTGGAGAAGGCACAGGTGCATTGGGCTTTAAGGCTATATATCCTCACTCCCCTCTTCATTCCCATGTTGCCCACACCCATGGAAAAACCTCACAAGGAGAGCCTCATAGAGAGGATCAGTCCCCAGGAAAGATGAGAAGGGACTCACATTAGTGTAAGAGATTGTGTCGTACTCTGTGTTCTCTCCAGAATGGGGGCATAAGTTAGGAGTTTCCTGACGAATGTCCGTTCTCTTCTTCTTTTCAATGGACTCTAAAAGCAAGTTGAGAGAGAATCAAAGCCATCTCTCCAACCACTCACCACTCCCACTGACCCACCATTTCTCTGGATGACCATTTAGGGTGACCAACCATCCCAGTTTCCTGGTAACGGAAGGGTTTTCAGGACAGAGGACTTTCAGTTTTAAAACTAGGAAAATCCTGAACAAAACAGGGTGCATTGTCAACCCTCTTCACATCACTTCCTGATCTCTGGATCAAGGTGGTCAAAGTGGGAAGTAGGGAAAGTCAAAGACACTTTCAGAGAGGCTTCCAGGAGGGAAGGGAGATTTCAAAGCCTACAGGTCATACCCAACGGATGTTAGGTTCCTCCCCATCACCCACATGGGTGGTGGGAACCCAGAAGACCAATCAGCAGGGTTTAGGAACACAGCACAGGGTACGGCTGTAGAGAGACGGGGAAGGGCTTCTCCAGGTGCCATATGTCTAAACTGAGGGGGGTAGTAAAGCGAGGTCTCGAGCGGATCCTGTGGAGAGGGTGGGAGTGGTATGTGGGCTCTGACAGGGATACGGATAGGAAGGGTTGACTGGAAGGTGCTGGTCTGTGGGGACCTCAGAGTTGGAGGCCATCACCTCCCAGGTCAGGGGAGCAGTCAGCAATGTGGGTATCAACAGAAGAGCCACATCAGGATGTCCCTCTGGGAGAAGGAGAGAACTGGGCCTTGGAAAGGGAACTAGGAGAATCGTGTCCTCAGGAAAGGTCTCCGGCATTTCTCTACTCCAGAACTAAGGAGTGCAGGCTGACTGTGTGCTTCCTGAGGGCAGAGACTGTGGGCTCTTTATCTCTGTATCTTCAACACCTCATGCCAAGTCTGGCATACAGCTCTATATGTGCTTGTTGAATCAATGAAGGAGAAAAGCATGAATATGGGTAAGGACAAAAAATAGTACACACTGTACCTTCTTGTCGTTCTCTCCTTATAAACCAAAGAAGTAGCCCCAGAGCAATGAGAGTGAGCAGGGAGGGCACCAACAGGAGACACAGGAGGATCATGGAAGGATTCGGGTCACCAGCAGCACCTTTAAAGAGAGAATGGGTAGAGGTATGGGGAAGGGAGAAAAGTCAGCTCAGAAAAACAACCCAGCCTTTGGAGCACCTGCTACCTTCCTCCCAGCCCAGTGACCACCCAGTGGCCTCCAGTTTCCATACAGTGCCTGTTCCTATGGGGGTCATGAGCTAAAGAAGGTGTAGGTTCTGGACAGAGGCTCCCGTGGAGAGGGGAGAGGCAGTTACCTTCACAGAGCTTCCTGGCAAGGATGGGGCTTGAGGAGTTGCTGCTGATGGGGTTCCTGGCAAAGCAGATGAAGGTCATATCACTTTCTCCCCATCTCCAGGAGATGGGGAGGATGGAGCCATTATGGGTTTCACTGGCTGCTTGCCCAAGAGCCTTCCAGGTATAGATCACATCCTCTCCCCCATGTTCCATGTAGCATGTCAGATTGGTCACACAGGTGCCATTCTCATTGCTCTGCAAACCCATGGTGACTTTAGGCCTTGACAGGTGCTCTGTGAAAGAGAAAGGACAACCAGGGATGGAAACTCTGCCTATAGCTCTCCTTTTTCTGAATTATCCTTGGATACCTTGGACCTGAATCTCTCTAGGAGCTACAGACTGGAGAAAAAGCAGTAATTCAGAGCAGAATTCTCATTCTTATCTGGAAAAGACAATTACCTAAGTCTGCTTTCCCACAGGTATATAATAACAGTAACAGCAAGAATGATAGAAATAGTAATGCAACAAGAATGTAACTGCCGTTTACTAAGCATAGCCACATGGGAAGCACTGTGCTAAACGCATGTTAGATGTCCGCTAATATTTTCTATTCTAAAGACTCCCTAGTCTCTGTCCTCAGGCTTTCCTTTACTCTCTAGGAGAGTTCACTTTACTCTCTAGGAGAAAATAGTATTGGAGTAGCCTTTCTGGCCCCCTTCTCTACCTTGTACTCACTCCCCTGTATCAGAGGATGAGTAATTGGTTCATTGGGGAGATGGTAAGAATCTGACAGTCATCATTTACCTTTCTCTACTCATGGGTTTGAGACGTTAAAGATTGCTGTTCAAATGTGGTTTGCCCTTTTCCCTCCTCCCCCAGCTAGTTACCCTGCAGAATGCATATCTTCTGTTGCCTTCAACCATGTCTATATGGAAGACACCTGGATCAGGTGCAGGCCTACCTCCTACAAGCAAGTCTGGAGGCCCATCTCCTGATGTCAGTAATATTGTGGCTCAGTGAGTGAGGCAGCTATTCTTCTTGTAGCTGTTTGAGTAATTGTTTTGTAATTTTAACTTCCCTGGATGAGGGCCAAGGTCCAGACTTGGGAGGAAGCATTTCTCCTGTCTACATTTACCAGAAATAATGCTGATATTTTTATCCTCTCCTTCTTGCATCTATGTATCAATTGGTTGAAATCTGTAGAGGAAGAGATGTACTCGATACTTTGGCCAAAAAATCTTCCTAACGTAGGTATTGCTTTCCTCCCCACTACAGATATGGAAACTAAGACTTGAAGAAATTAAGTAACTTGGCTAAGGTCCTGTGACGAAAGAAGCCAGCATTTGACCTTGATCCATGTGATGGCCACTGCATGTATCAGCCATCCACTGCACCACGCTGCTTCTTATAGCATCTCTGAGTAGACAGGGACCTCAGGGATCAGCTATATCTACTTCATTCATGAAGGAGTGCCCTTTCCCACATTCTTGCTAAGTGTTTATCCAGCCTCTGCTTAAACATTCTCATGTCAAGGAGCTCACCACCTCACCAAGACAGCCATCCACCATTGGAACGGACTCTGCTCACCGTAGACATGCAGCACATACTCCTGGGTGAAGGGATCATGGTGGGATGAGCTGTATATCTTCACGTGGTAGACCCCTGAGTCGTTCTTCTTCAGTTCGCTGAGCTTCAGGGAGTAGGTTCCATTTAGGAAGGATATTCTCTCCTTATTACGATTTTGGGTCACTATGATAGTGCCCATTTCTGGTTGCATGGTGACAAGAAGGGTTGTGTTGAAGGTCCAGACAATAGTGTCAACTTGCTTTACTTTGGACGTCAGAGGGAATGTCACGGCTCCACCAAGGGGACCAACTAGCTCCTTCATGACTTCATGGGCTGCTGAACCTATAAACACAGAGAACCATAAAATAAACCCGATTCCCTGTCCTTGCCACCAATTATCACCCCCTTTGGGTCCTAGAGAGAGCTGAGAAACCCACTCAGTCCAACACAAGCAGCTCCCGGGAAACCTTTTGGAATTTTCTCACACCGAGTTTCCTCACATGTTACCCTGTTAAGTAAGTGCTCACATGGAAGCACTGAGATTAGAAATTTATGTTTCACAACAATCTTAGTTCATTCCCAGAGAGTATGACTTATAACAAAAATCACTGGTTATGTGGTTGTAGGTGAAAAACAGTTAAGAATGTCTGCTGAAGAAAATTCCAGAAGTGGCCAGCTGAGCACTACTAGTGAACAGGTGTGGGGAGTATGTCATCTTATTCTTACCTATTAAACTTGAGCAACAGACTCTGGGAATAGCACAGAGCAGTGAGATAATTTAGTTTGGGACTAGAAGTTTTAAAGCACAAATTATGATCTTGTTTAATTCTTTTTTTTTTTGTTTTTTGTTTTTTTGAGATAGAGTCTCATGCTGTTGTCCAGGCTAGAGAGCAGTGGCACGATCTCTGCTCACTGAAACCTCCACCTCCTGGGTTCAAGTGATTCTCTTGCCTCAGCCTCCTGAGTAGCTGGGACTACAGGTGTATACCACCATACCCGGCTAATTTTTGTATTTTTAGTGGAGGTGGGGTTTCACCATGTTGGCCAGGCTGGTCTTGAACTCCTGACCTCAAGTGATTTGCCCACCTTGCCCTCCCAGAGTGCTGGGATTGCAGGTGTGAGCCACCGCACTCAGCCTTGTTTAAGTCTTAAAACAGTCCTTAGAGGAAACATTCTTTATATCCCCATCTTATAGATCAGGAATGTGAGGCACAGCGGGGTAAGTGACTTACTCAAGCCACGTAACAGGATGCAGAGTACACACCAAAACCCACAGGGTTGAGATCATGAAGGACGTATTTTATAGATGAGAAAACTAAATAGAAATGAAAAGAACTTATTCAAGGCTGATAGAAATGCAAAAACTAAGATTAAATCCTTAAAGTGAGGCAGGGTAGCTAGTCAAGAAAATAACTGTGTTCTCAGGAGGCAGTGACCCCGTGGTGGCTCTAGAGTCAATACAATAAGCCTCAGCATTCGCATTGTGATTGAGTTCATTCAAGCAAAGCTATTGCCCTGTAGAGAGCACGCGCATTTTGATTCTACTTGTCCTCAAACTGACCCTTTGCTCATTATAATAAAAATAATAAATGTATCTCTAAAAGTACCGATTTACTTCCTAAGTACCATTTAGGAGCACATATTTTTCCCTCTATAATATATCAGTCAGTACATATATATCAAATCAGCCCATTCAGTAATCTGATTAAAAAAAAAAAAACTATTCTCTCTGCTTCCTTAATCTTAAGGCCAGGATGGTTTTTCAACTGCTCTCTTTGTTCATCTTTAGGAATGTCAAGTCAAAAGAGTGCCAGGGAATGTTACATATAAAATTAATTTTATTCTGAATTTTTGATCAGTTAATGCATTTGTTCTTTTACTTCAACAGCGAAGATGAAAGTGGCGAATATTTTGAAGTCAAATAAAGATGGGGTATCACTTGTCCCTAAGTGGGTGCAATTTCTACACTTAGGGCAATCTTTAAGTAATTTCATTTTCACATTTCGTTTTGGAGAAATATTTAAGGTGACAAAGTGGCAAAACGACCAGGATGTGGCTTTAGCTGCTGGCATGTGTGCAGTTACTCCCTTCACCCTTCCACAGTGCTGTATTCTCAGGGTAAATGACAAGGGACATGACTTGGGTGAGATACAAGAATGTCACCAAATTCATTGTTTCTTGTTAGAATAAAATTGGAGGATGACACAGGGCAAATTACCAATATGAGCCTATATATAGTATATTCTATCTTAAATGCATCTTCAGGGTGAGACAAGGGGTAATGAAAGAAAACAGTAGCTCCATACTATTCTCAGAATGTAGGCTCAGAGAATAGGGGCAGGATTGGAGAGTCCAAACCAATTTTGCTTCTTCTTCCCAACTGACTGGGAAAAAGGATCCAGAAACAAGAGACTTCTTTTCTGAACTGTCCAAGGCTGAATTGAAGTTCTTTCTGTGATGGTTTTACACCTGCAGTGTGTGACCCTATAGAGTTTTACCATATCTAAGCAGGTCACACTTGTCAGATTCAGTCATTCCTTCTTTTTTTTTTTTTTTTTTTTTT